TTTTTTTTTTTTTTTGAATTTTGAGTCTTGAACCCGTAAACCCGGCCCGGACCGGGCCCGGCCCGCCGGGTTTTTTTATTACCGAAAAGGCCCGGAACCGGCCCGCTAGATGTCCGGTTCCGGTTTGAAAACCGGCTTCTCCGGGCTGGGTCCGGTTCGGGCCGGGCCGGGTTCGGTCCGGGTCCGGGCCGGTTCGGCGGGCCGGTTCGACCCGTGGACATGTCTATGTCGAACAATTAAAGAGAACTTTAATGAACATATGTAATCACTAAGGATCAACACAATATGAATAGATTTACAAGAAATAGCCAAAGTAGAGGCATCCAACTGAAGATCAATTGATTACACTAATCTAAAATAAATAAATAAAATCATCAAGTGCCTTCAACTGATGTACCTTCATGATGGTCGTTGCCTTCAACTAATCCAGGTAACTTTTGACAACTCCCTAAAAGATTTCCTCCTTGAATCTTGGTGATTCCATGAAGAAGCTATAAGAACAAAAAAAAGAATGACAATCTGTATGAACTTAAAAGCCAACATCTTACACAACTATACATCGTATTTCTTTGGTTGCCTCCATTGAGCAAGACTTCTGGATAATGAGACAAGGAAAGAAGAATTGCTTGGAGCTCCTCTCCTCCCATACAAGTGCTTTCCACCTATCCGTGAACTTTGGTCCTTTGTCCTTGTTTCTTTCAATCTACATAACAACACACACACACACACACACACACGCACATCGGAGATTTAATATTATGAACCAGTGATGTTTTGAAATGAGTTTTGAAAATTAAATTAATTTTTTTGAAAAGCCATGGATTTTCGTTAAATCAAAGTGGGACGTTACAACAAAAGGTGTTGAAAATGGACATACCAAAATGCAGTTCTCAAACAAAGGCAAAAGGGGCTCTTCTATTCAAAAGAACATGGTCCTTAAAAGTGCTGGGGAAAATAAAACTCTTCATTTGGAGGTGCATATTAGGAACATTACCTGTTTTGGCTAACTTAAAGAGGAAAGGATTGAACATAGATACCATCTACAGATGCTGTGGCACAGGTGTTGAAACCATTGAGCATGTTTTGTTCTCATGTCCTAGGGCTTGCAAGTTATGGGAAATTGCACCTGTCTCTTGGGATGGACTGACTCATCTTAATCACTCATTCAAGCAGTGATGGCATTAGATATGTCTTCTGGATCACACAATAGTGGCGGAGCATAGAATCCAACTAACCACATACCTATTGTGGTGGCTCTGGAAGACCCGGAATGCATGGGTATTTCAACAAGTTCTAACACCAGTCCACATTGCTATAAAAGCTGCTCTATCAGACTGGCTGGACTTCCAGGAAGCAAATAAGAAGACTTTTTAATAGTTGTTTGTTAGATGTTTGTTACTTTCATTGTTCAAACTGTTTTTGTGATGTACTAATTTTTAGGTGGTGTCTGTAGTTTTATGGGTGGGCTGCTCTTGCTAGGCATATGTAGTGGTGGAGCACCTTCTTTAGTTTTTTCTTTTCTTTGCTTCCCAATTTGGGTTGAGTTGCTTAAGGCAATGTGTGCCTATGCGGTTCTAAGTCATCATCTTTGATGACTTCCCAATTTCTGTTTCGGTTTAGTTTCTGGTCAGTTGATTTGTACTGAACAACTTATGTTGAGTTTTTATAAAATATCTATCATTTCGGGAAAAAAAAAATAAAAAAAAATCTTAGGGATTCTATATGCAAAGGAGANAAAAAAAAAAAAACCATAGCTCGGGAGCTTGACTCTATTACCTATAGGTAAAGACTGACAGCGGGAGCCGAGCTGGTTGCGCGTTCTCTCCTAATAATCTTAATATAATAATACTTTATATATTTTGTATATATGCAAATAAGATTTTGTGCAACCGTGTCTATGTAATTTAGCCTTATATCTATAATTAGACCCATCATGTATTGGGCCGGATTGTATCACAATCATCTCCATCTCAAAGGCAATATTTATTGCATTATTGATTGTGCAAAACAAAGGCCACACCTTTAAAAAAATCAAAAAATCTCAACAGAATTTGAATTCTAAAACGTCACTCAAAATCTCAAATGCATAGAAGCTCGAGTGATAGTTTATATATTTTTTTATTTGTGAATCTCAATAACTATTCTAAAATCCAAGAATCATGTGATAAATAAGTTGAATATCTTTTGACTTTTAAATTTCAAATGAATAATTTCAAGACTTTAAAAATCTTAAGAAATCAAAATTAAAATTAACAAGAGAAATTTTTAAGAATATAATACATCCTAAGGAACTTTTAAAATAATTAGCTATGCGACCATACTAGCTTGTGAATTACCAATATGGTCTTTAACTCTTATAGAATTGCAAAAGTAATCCAAATTCCAAGCTAGTGGCTCTCACTTAGATAGATTTTTCTCTCATATGAAAGGTCTTTCTCTCATCGGAGAGTTTGTTTTAATATTGTTTTTTCCAGACCATTTTCTTCTGCGCGGATTTGGAAATTTTAGACGTTGCCTTTTACAGTGGGCGTGTTGGAGTTTGGCTTCTTAGGGTTTCATGCCTGACGGACAATCGAATAATCCGACAGAGGAAGTGGAACAACAATTAAGGGATTTCTCTCTGTCGGTGGTGGAAAATCAGATTATTGATATAAAGTCTGAGGATGTGCAAGCCAGTATTGACGAATGCCACAAGAGCTTGTTCGGGAAGTGGTGGGGGACAAGAAAGCGAACCTAATGGGGGTGAAGAGTGCGATGGAGATTATCTGGAAACCGAAGTTTTTTCTAGAAGTCTGCGAACTTGGTAAGAATTTCTTTCAATTCATATTTGAAGATGCGGAAGATATGAAAAGGATTGCAGGAGGGACTAATTAGATTTTCGATAATCAGTATTGAATCCTAAAAAGATGGAAGGAAGGGTTGAGTAATAAGGATAGTTGCTTCAATGAACTCAGATTTTGAGTCCAAGTTCACCATGTTCCGTTGAATTGTTTTACGTGGGAAGTTGGATTAAAAATAGGCAAAGTTTTCAAATCAGTTTCTAACGTGCTTTTTAGTAACTTAGGAAGTCAAGGGGGTAGGTTGATCAAGTTGTTGGTGACAGTAAACTTGTCAGAGGCATTACCCAGATGTGCTTTAATCCGTTTAGATAATCAGGTAGTTACAATTACCTGTAAGTATGAAAGGTTGGTGAACTTATGCTTTTATTGTGGAAAAGTGGGTCATATAAAGAAAGGGTGTGGGCAAAGAGTGGATGACATAGAGAGGCAAACACTGAAAGAAGGCCAATATGGAGAATGGTTGCGAGCATCAGAAGGGTTGCAAGGTCAAGGGTGGAAAAATAGCAGCTCATCCTCGGGCCATACTAAAGAACCAGACTTTGCTCCTAGCAATGGTCATACTCAAGAGGAAGAGATAGCAAGATGTAACACATTCTCACTGAGGGTGGCGGTTACCTCTGCTCAAAAGGAAAACCATGTGCAAAGGGTTGATACTAGTTCATCTCAGATGGGGGAAGGATCTTTCCAAGGGGTGGAGGATAGTGAGTTAGTGGTTTTTGAAGTTGTCCACAACCATTGCCATATGGAGAAAATTAGGAAAGATACCACTGAGGTGGATGCTATGGCACTGGATTAAAGAGCTAAAGACATTTTCAATCATCTAAATAAGAGCCAGCTGAACCATAGTGAGTCACTATGGCTAGAACCAGTTAAAAAGACTGGGAAAAGGACTGTGAAGAAACAAGGGAGATTTATAAGAGTCAGGGAGTCACCTTTTTTAGAGATATCAAAGACTACTTCTAAAAAATAGGGGGAGCTAAAAATGGTTCAGTTAAACAATTCTATGAGAGACAATCAAACAGTTAAGGGTGAGAAGAAAATTAAACTATATTTGACACATATGGAGAGGGCCAACCTAAAGAAGCCTTCAAGGAGCCAATGAGGCTTCTGGTTTGGAATTGTAGAGGTCTGGGTGGACCCTCTACAATTCCCCCAATCAAGGAGGCCTTAAGGCTCCATCACCCTGTTTTTACTTTTCTGTTAGAAGTCAAAAAATCAAAACAATTTTCAGTTCAAGTTTGCAGTAGATCGGGCGTTGTAGATAGACATTTGTTGTGGACCCTAGAGGTTCTGAGGTGGTTTAATGTTGGTTTGGAATTCTGAGGTGGAGATTGAACAGATTTATGTCAAGCCTTTCTTTATAGTAGCAAGTTTAAGGAGAGAGGGGCAGGAAGCTTGGAGCTAGGCTATTTTTGTGTATCTCAGTACTTGTAAGGCTGAGAGAGCAGCTCAGTGGGCTAGCATCATTCAAGAGAGTGTCAGGTGGGGCAATGTCTTCCTAATTGCGGGGGATTGGAACGATTTGTGCAAACCAGAGGATAAGAAGGGTGGGATTTACAGACCTCTCAGTAGTTATTGAGGTTTCAATGACTTTTAGCTCAATTGGGTGTGCAGGAGTTAACTATGGAAGGAATGCAGTTCACTTGGGCCAATAATAGAGATGGAGAGGGGTTTGTTGAGGAGCTGTTGGACAGAGCTTTTGTTCTTTGGAGTGGCTAATGAAGGTCTCTAACACTCAAGTCCACAGCTAGTTTAAGAGTGCTTCTGACCATTTCATGCTAGTGATTGACTCTAATGGAGATTCCGCAAGCATAAGAGGAGATTCCAGTTTGACAAACGGTGGATAATGAAAGAGAGAGTGCATAAGGTGGTTAAGCAAGCTTGGGAGATACCTGCTGAGGGCACTCCAATGTATGCAGTGAAAGACAAAATAAAAAGGGTTAGGGAAGCTTTACTGACTTGGAGTAAATATTTTAGATCTGAGAATGTTAGTATCATTGAAAATCTGTCTCTAAAGTTAGAGGAGATGAGGGCAGAAGCGGGGGGACATGAATTGGGAGGTGTGGGACAAACTCAAAAGAGAATTGGATGAGGCTAATTGCACTGAAGAGATTGTTTAGCAAAAAAGCAAGGGCCTTGTGGCTCAAAGAGGGGGACATAAACTCTAAGTTCTTCCATGCTTATACTGCTCAACGAAGAAAGTAAGGATCCAACAGTGATTGAGCATACTATTACTGATTTCTATGGGCAATTGTTTACTACCAAGGGTTCATATAATGGTCAAGAGTTATTAACTTTTATTCATCCTATTGTCACTAAGGAGATGAATGATCTTTTCACTGCTCCAATAGATGATGATGCCATCAAAAAAGTTAGCTGAGAAATCCCCGGGGGAGGATCACATGACAGGATTGTTCTACCAACATTTCTGGCCTATCAATGTTAAAGACACTTGAATAGTAGTTAGAAGTTTTTTTTAATCAGGCCAGATGTTGAGGTACTGGAAACACTCTCTTATCACTTTTATACCTAAGTGTCTGCATTCTATTTCTATCACTTACTTCAGACCTATAAGTCTATGTGTTGCATTCTATAAAGTGATCTCTAAAATTCTAGCATTGAGGTTGAGACAGTGTCTTCATGTTTGTATTTCTAAAAACCAAAATGCCTTTTTGCCTGGTAGACAGTTATTGGATAACGTTGTAACTGGGCATGAAGTGTTTCACTTTCTGAATAGACATAGAAGTTAGAAGAATTGGGTTCCAGCTCTGAAATTGGACATTATGAAAGCTTATGATTGTGTTGAGTAGAAAGCTAGAATGGGGTTCCATAGACAGTTTGTGAAATGAATTATGGCATGTATTGAGTTTCCCACATTTTCTTTTAATATTAATGGCAAGTGCAGTGGGCTTGTATCTACTTCTAGAGGAATAAACAAAGGGATCCACTATCTCTTTATTTAGGTTGGGTTCTATTGTTGAATAATAAATCCTAACGCAGCGGAATCTATAGTTAGGATTAGGACTTACGGTTTAAAAAATTTTGCCGAGCTGGACTGGTTTGGGCTGGACTGGACTAGGCCGGGTGGACCGGGTGCGGGCTCGCTGGGCTGGGTCTGGTCAAGTTTGGGCCGAACTGGGCTCGTTGGGCCTGGTCTGGTAGCGCTTGGGCCTGACAGGGCTCGCTGGCGCTAGGTCGCACGCGTACAGGCGCAGGGGCGAGCGAAAATGTCGAGCAGGGACGTCGCGTGGCGCGCAGGATGCTCGGGTTCTTCGCAGATCCTACACGGGTAGCGTCTACGGCACGTTGGTCGCTGCAGTTCTTCCCAGGCACGGGGTATCGACGGCGTTTGCAATGGTTGTACGGTCTTGGCACGTGCGCTGCAGGTCTCTGCGGGACACTGCGGCTGGAATGTGGGATCTTCGCTCG